CAATACAACATTAAACAAATATAATTAAAGAAAATATAGATAGCCTTTTTAATTATTTTTCTATAATATGATGTATATATATATATATTGTTGACAAAGCATTACTATTAACTGAACTCCGAATTCTGTTTTTCGTAAGCAATGATTCATCCTTGTTTACAGGTATACATTAAATTACCTACAACAGTGGCTGCACCTGTCCCCATTATCCTAGAACGTTTTGTATTAATAAAATATAATTGAAAATAATAGGTAAAAATTAAATTTAAAGTAAAACAAGATTATAAAATGGTAATTACTTATTTAAAACAATATTTAAGTAGTACTTTTTTCATCTTAAAATTTATTATAAAAATGGGTTTTACTCAAACACATTTCATCAGAGTTATAAATATTCTGGAGGCAATACATTTTTAATAAATAGTATAGAAAAAGGTTTTATCAGTAACTAAGTGATTTTAACTTTTAAAATTTTAACATTTTTATGAAAGAATTTTTTCCAAAAATGTTGTTAAAATTACTTATACATAACCCCTTAAATATTGTGTTGACTCTGATATCTGTAATTTTAGATTTTAAGTGGGGAGACAAATGCCAATACAATTAGTTTTACAATGATGTTTATTATTATTATTTTTTTTTAATCTGTGAACATCTTGTAATCCAATATTAAAAAGCTGTCCTAAGATAATGGGGATGGGTGCAACCACAGTTGTAGGTGGGAAGTTGGAGAGGTAGGTCTGTATCCTAATATAGACAGGAATTTATGCATATATCTCTTAGCAACAATAAACGATTGCTAACAAAAAATGACTCTGAGTGGAGTTTAGTTAATAGTGTTGCTTTGTCAACAATATTATGCCCTATAGTTAATCATTGCTTATATAGATATATAAGATATAAATTAAATTTTCCCTCTACTACCTTTCCAACTTCTCACTTACAACAGAGGTCTTTTTATTTAATATTCTAAAGCATAATATATATATATATATATTGATAATATAAGTACATTTCTCTAGATTAAAATATACTTATAAACTTTAACTATATTAGTTCAATATTGCATGAATGTATTATTTATATATCAGAATATAAAATTATGAGTTGTCAAATCAAATATAAAAAAAAAAAAACACAATAATAAATTTAACTGTAGAAATAACATTACCTGGCAAGTGAAATAAATAAGTTGAACAGTTTATGTGGTAAACAATTTTTTGTATTATCTTGAGTTGTATATTTCACAGTATCATAGTTGTATTTGAATAAAAAACTTTGTAATAATTGAAATACTTCCATTGTTTTTTTATTTGTTGATAAAGTTGACTTTGGAATCTAAAAATTCAAAATTATTTATATGGTTGAATTGAAAACTGTATACAAATATTTATTTAGTGGTGTATCATGGAAAATTAAAAGTTGCAGTAGAGCAAATAAAAAGCATGATCTAATAGTTTTTAAATCACATTTAGGTCCAGACACATCATTGATTTATGTTTATTTAAATATATCTAAATTTCTAAATAATTGTGACAAGTGGCCTCTTCTTTTTATCCAGTGTTATTTTTAATACAATCTGCAGTAGGCTAAGTATGATTAGTGAAAATTAGTAAGTACAATTATCTAAATTTCATGCATAAATAATAAATTCATATAAAATAATATATATAATAATTATAAATTATATAATGCATATGTATTATGTGAAAAGCTCTAAAATATAATTTGTTCAATTTTATAAAAAGCTTATTGTTTTTAAATTAATAAACAACACACCCAATTTAATAAGTTTAGATAATTAAAAAAACACATTTATTATATATTTTATTTAACTAACCTTAATTTCTAAAGGAATACTTAGATTTTTTGAAGCTTTTATTAAAAACATCAATACTAAATCGCTAGATGGATTTTCATAATGTTTCTCCAAAGCACATTTTTTTAGTAAGGCAGAAATGTAAGTCAAGTATAAGGAAAATGTTTGCCGAGCCTGGAGATTACTGAAATTCAACCAAAGAAAGATACTAATCTTTAGAAGTTACAGATACCAGATTTTACTAATTAGTAATTGGTGAAGAATATTCAAAATATATAAAAATAAAAATTACAAAGTTTACAGTTTTAAAATTTATAATAAAAATAAAATCAACTAAATAGTTAATAAAATAATAAAGTAAAAACAAAATTATTAAAGTTATTATTAATAAATAAAATAAATAAAGTAATTAAACATATAAATAAATAATGTATAAAATAAAATAAATAAATGAATCAATGAGTCTGGAGTAGTATGATTAGTATATTATATAACCAGTTTATTTAAAAATTCATCATCAGGTATATTACAGTCAAAATGTAAAACACGACTCATTTATTTATTTTATTTTTATATATACATTTTTTGTTTATGCATTTATTTACTTTATTTAATTAAATAGTGTTTTATGTTCTCAAATTTACCATTTAAATTATAAAATTAAAGCAACCTATATTGTAGTTATCATATAATAGCATATAATATTATATTATTAGTATTAAATATATAGTTAAATAGTTTTTTTTTTACCTAAATATATAACCGTTTTTTAAGTATTTTACAATTGTTTCTTTTAACTTGGCAATATCAGTAGAAATATTTTTATCATCTATAAAAAATTATTAATTTTAGTTTAATATATAATATATTTCTGAAATAAATAACAATTGTTAATTTATAACCATTTAAACTTTTCTTGATAGTCTTTAAAGACAGTTCACATTGGTCTTGATCTGATCTAATATTCATACAGAATGAGGAGTTTTCATTGAACAAATGATCATTTAAGAAATAATTATAGTTTCTTATTAGCTTAACATAAAATGGAGGTATGATAGATCCCCTCGGAATACCATTTACATTATCTACAAAGCAAATTATTTAACATATTATTCTAAGTTCAAATTTTATATTAATTTCTTACCTAAATATGAAGAATATTTTTTCCATGATAGGTAAGTTGGAAAAATCCGCATAAATCCCCGGCTTCTTTCATTTTGATCTATTGTGTTTTTCAATAGCCTTTTTTCATCATTAGTAAG